ATATCCACTATTTCCCACACAATCCAATGCTTTTGATCTGTTTTGCAATTTATGCCAATGCGGCTCAGGCCTATATTCAGACAGAGACTTCCCGAAGTTGGTTTATAGGATCAGAAATAGAAAATCTCATTAAATCAGGCATACTGTTTCCATGACACTGCCAGAGAGGGCTGAGAATGACACAGCATTGTATTTAATGAATCCAGAAATGACCGCTATATTTTTTTCTCCATATGCACAGTCAGTTATTTGAGAGGTAGTGGTGTTGTACCCTACTGATGTCAGTCCCCTTTCTAAATCATACACAGCTCACATTTCCCATGTGCATGAAATACGATTGGATATTAATGTGGCACCAATATTTGTATCACACTACTCACACCCATCTTGACCTTAACTCTGGGAATGTGTACTATTTCCCAAGAACTAGTAAGCATTATCAGAGCACCTATTTACCACTCAAACTGCTCTCACATGCGGCAACTAAAATGAGAGATTGCTCAGTCTAAATGTTCAACTTTTTAAAAAAGTGAACCCCAGTCATATTAATTCCAGTTTCGTGTTCCTGAGATTTTGAATTTTAAGTGATCCCCTGGGAGATGAAGTACAGAGCAAAAGGGCAGTGAAACACTGTCATACTGCGATTTATTTGCTGGATCTGCGTAATGCTGCTTGGATCTCCCACAGAAATTACAGGGACTAATTTTAGCTCTGCACAGTGACAACAGCAGTGTAAACCCAGATTCACAAACTTCTGAGCAGGACTTAGATATATTCCCATAAAATTAACAAATAATAAAATACAGTGTGCTTTTTTCTTCCGTTTTTCACCAAATGTTACCAGGAATATTTGGATCTGCCACACGATACTACATTGCCCAGTCCTAAGAGAAAAATTATGAGCTCATATTTGAACAAAATTTATGTCCATGCCCCCAGCTGAGTTTAGTTCTGCTCACTGATTCACAGCAGAGTAGTCTCTGACATTACATGTGTGGGATCATTTTTTTGACAGAGGTTGTGGTCACTACTAGGATAGGCAGGCTGCAAAATACTAGATTACATGACTGCTCTTTAATCTAAAGATATGTAAAAGATACAGCCTCACCTGCAGTTATTGCTGCTGTACTGTCAGAGATTCAGTCCATCCCTCTTGATACATGCAGAAGTACAAAGCATTCAGAACCCTCAGGTCAGACACTAGTCCTACAGGCAGTAGCCCAGGGAGGCCTGAGCTGTCTCACAGAGATGTATGATGCACCTTCTGCAAGACCACCACCTAAAAGCAGTGTACTATATGATCTTGTGTCCTCACTTAGCTGTGCAGCACAGCTTCTTGTTTTCCAGTGGAATCCATATTAATTTCAAACAACAAAAACATCTGTCCCACTGGCTTTATTTACTGTGACAGTCCATTTGCTGATATTTCCTTGCCTTAGCCTCATATCACAAAGAGAAAATATACAATGAGGTTCTCCTCCCAAATGTAATTTTTACTGTTGGTGATAGTTGAGTTTTTTTCCTGGAACTGCAAAATGATCTAATTCCAGGACAATACATCCATCTGTGACAGAACTGAATCACAACTTTTTAAGAGAAGCAATAGGGTAAACATTCAGACCAACACAAGCAGATTTCTCTGACCCTGTGTTTTTAAAACTGCCTGTTCAAAAGGAGCAACTCAACTCCATACTAAGCAGTGCTGAGAGTATTTCACATTAAGCAAAAGCTTAAAATGATCAATATGTAAAATAAGTCAAGCGATAAAATATCTTCTCTGACCCTCTGGGTCCTACATACTCCTAATAATTCAGCTCTAGAGACTGCTGGCAACAAAAGCCCATTGAAATTTAAAGGGGTTATAAGACTAAGCATTTTCTAAAATTATCAGCATAAGATATATGGCATAAACAGAACACTTGAGTAAAGACACAAAGACTGATTGCCCAAGTTTTGCATTAGGTGCACAGTTCGAGGGTTGTTATGTTCATAAACTGCACAATGAAGGCAGTGAAATCCATAGTCATGTAACAAATATATATCATAAGACAAACATTGCTTGCAGCTAGGCAGGCCTTTATCCTGTAGGCAGCTATTTTACTCTCTTTCATTGCAGTTTTTTTCCCATTATTTGATCAGTTTCAGGTGCTACCCCAACAACTCACAGTGCTGGACAAGATGGACAGCTGATCTGGCACAGCATTCTAGTTCACAAAACAAACAAACAAACAAACAAAAACCCACTAAGACTGACAATAAGAAAATAAATTTGAATGCTTTCTGAGAAAGGTGTTCCCACTGTCCTTATTACAGAATTGCCTGCTGACTTTCCATGGAATATGAAGTCTTGCTGATTCCCCTGTCCTTCCTGTACTTCCACTGTCTGCAGGAGCCCAGGAGGACTTTGTGCTCCCTGCCGGTGGCTGGAAAGGATGTGGCATACAAATTCCCTACTGCAAGCCATCTTCTCATCATTGCTCTATGGATTGTGAGTTTGGATACACATGGGCTTCAGATGGTCCAAAATGCAGCCTTCCAATTAAGCTTACTTCACTCCTTCATTTATTTCACTTCAGTCTGTTGCAGGACTGCTGGAAAATCCTCAATGGAGTATGGATTACCTGTGGAAGACAACCTCCTTCTTCTTCTGCAATTCTTCCACAGGCAGGTGGGTGTGAAAGGTAAGAGGTGCCAGCATGAAACACATGAGCACTGAGATGGCATTTCATGTCCATTGTCCTGGACTTCAGAGCAGTAAGAGAACTCAGAAAGCTCTTGTCTTGCCACATTTCAAAGGCAAATTGAGATTTGTGTATTTGTACAAGATTTTCTAAGCTGTAGACATGGTTACACAAGAGACAGCAACCTGCTAGGCCACACACAAACAAGAAAAACATGTGGGATAAAGAACACGTGGAAAGAAGCAGAATCAGCAGAGTGATCAGGAAGCACACTGCTTTGGGGCTGAAAACTGTTCTTCCACAGTTTGAATGCTTGGCTCTTGCAGAAGGCCAGCAGGGTGTCACTGGCTTGTGTGGGGAGCAGGATGCCTGATCCTGTGCAACCCAGATGCACTGGCATGAGCTGCAGAGTACTAAGTAAGAAAAGACTGAGCTCTAGGAACTGTTTCTTGCATTACCCAAAGCTCTGGTGAGTGACTATCAACTTACTCTTATATAATCAACCACTAAGGGTAAGGAGTGTGCAGCTAAGAGGTAATACGCATAAGGAGGATCACAACTAATTCCTGACAGTCCTATGCTATCCCACCAAACCTTTTTTTTTTCACCCCCTTGCTCTTGTGTTAAGTGCATGAAATATTTGAAAGTACAACTTCTGCTGTGATGCAGAGGATGACAGAATGGCTTGGTTTGCACAAAACTTTGCATACATTAACATTCACATCAGTTCATTTCTGCCTTTCAGAATGCCTATGAGCTGACGATGAAATGACTTCAGAATAACCCATGCTGCACTCCACTTCACTGCCAGGAGGAGCTCCTGAAGAGCAGCTGACACGCTGACAGCCCACACCACAGCTCACCCTATGGTGGCCTCGTGTTGGCTATACCCCAGACTCTACAGAAACACCTGGAAGTATCATAACTTGTTTTAAGCTGACTGCACTCGTGAAATCAAATTAATTTAAGACATTGTAGCTTCTCAGTGAGGAAATGCCCACTATCAATGCCTCGAGGAAAAAGAACAGCACGTGGGTTAGGACAGCAGACTTCTGTCACCAACCAGACAATAGCACTGGTCACATCATGCGGTAGCGCTCTTGGTTTCTCTGAGTAACACAGACCATTACATTCTTCAGACTAGGAAGATTAGTTAATTTACATGCTTCACACATACTTTAAGGGAAAACAGCTACTGAGGAGTGCTTTTCATTACAAGTAGGGTTATTTCTAACACTAACGCAGTTGACCACGACAGAAATCCAAATGGCCAGCATTTGGATTTATGACCAACATGACCATAAGGGAGGAACAAAAGCTGAGGAGGTCCTCTGCACTCATGAGGATGCCAGAACAGGTGTCCCCAGACCACAGCATGCAGACCTCTGCTCCAGAGGCTGCAATAAATGGAGCAGCAGGGCAAAAGCTGCCAGAAATATATGATGGAGATAGCAAAGGTGGAGGCAGGAGGCGTGCTTCAGGTGCTCCCTGCTGCCCCGTTGTGTGTTGCAGCATCTCCCCCTCTCCCCCCGCCAGATCACAGCATAAGTCTCACAGCCTGTAAAGCTGTCTCAGAGCGCTTATTTTTACTCATATTGTCTGATTTCATGCAGCCCAACCCGAGCCCCGCCCCGGCCATAAAGGACTAGGCGTTTCGTCGCCAAAAGATGCATGGCCCTCTCCCGACCGCGCTTGGGCACGAAGGAACTGTACGGTGTCACTCCGCTATCCCCGTCCTCCCTCCCTCTGCTCCCCAGGGTTATTTTGAGAGGGAATAAACCCATCGGGAGAGACTGCGGCCGAGCTCTCACCTGCTTCACTTGCAGGTCCACCACCGTCTGAAAGACATGCGCCACCAACAAGGAGATGCTGGCGATGAGCAGCGTCAGAGCCAGGACCCCCACGGTGACGAGACACAGCGACCTCATGGCTGCCGCCGATGAGACACAACACCGTCGTCAGCACGGCCACCGCCAGGCTCCGGGCACGGCGTAAGGGGCGGGCGGCCGCGTCGCCACGCCCGCCGCGGGGCCGGGAGCTGCGGCAGCGGAGCCGCCCGCCCCGCCGGGCACCGAGGGAGGGAGAGTCCCGATGGCGGGGGCCGCCTTTGTGTTTCGGCGAAGCGTTGCGCGGCCTGGTTGTTGGTTCGTGCTGAAATCTTCCTGCCTGCTGTGGGCGCCTCCTGGTGCAGCAGGCATGTGTCAAGGGTTTGCTGTGAAACAAGTGGAAGAATAACTATTCGTTACAGGAAAACTTGTAGGGAACAGAAACAGCCTCTAGAGCGAATAAAGCTTCGTAGGGATCAGATTCTACCATAATTCAATGCAATGCAGCTTCCAGTAGTGCAGTTAAGACGCATAAGAAATAAGGCGATGTATCCACTTCTCCTTTAAAAGGCAGTGGGCGCTCCTGCTCTAGCTTCCCACCCAAAATCACTTCCTGGAGCGCTGCAGGAGGAGGGACAGGAGCACACGGCAGTGGCTTTCCCAGAAATGGACACTGTGACATCTGCTTTCTGTCACAGCCTCTGTATTTCACAAAAGGAAGGTAAGTCCCAGGGATGCAGGACCTCTGCCTGTCCCATAGCCACAGTCATGCTGTTAGCAACACTCATGCTTATTAAGTCTCGAATTGGCTCCCACTCCTCCAGCATTTCTCAGTCATGGGGCAGCTGGCCATAGTCATCTGGATTCAAGTAATGCCTTCCCTAGGGGAGAGCAAGTAAACTATCAGATGGATTCCTTGCTAAAATTGCTGGGGACAATGCTACAATGTACTTTTTTCGCTCATGAAAGGTTATGAGGTCAACTTTCATTAATTACCTGGGGAACTAGAACTCTTGTGGTTCCTCTTATGCAGTAAACAAAACCCACTGTTCTGTCAACAACTTTTAATTTGGATTCCCATACCTAAGTGGTGACTTCATTCAGTTTCATCCTCATCTCTCCAAAAACAAAGCCAACAGAATAAATATTATAACCCTTTTTTTGAAGACTAATTGAACTATAGCAATAGAATTCTCCCCCTTGAAAAATCTTCCGTAGGAATTCCCTTATGAAACCATAAACTTTCCCTTACACCATAAAATACTGTCTTTGGTGAGGACTGGCTGTAACGACAACTTCTACAAGTGGGTATCTCCTCCCAGAATGCATTAAGCATTTTCCATGGCTTCTTGAATCAGTGTAAAGGAGCCCTTGTTCTTGCCTCACCTGAACTAGTGCAACTGCTCTGTGACTTATGTTTTGTCTTGAGGATATCCTGATGCATGTACTCCAGTGTAAGTCAACTGGTCCACTGTCTACAAATCAGAGATTCAGAAGAAAAAAAAAAAAAAAAAAAAAAAAACAGCAAGATAAATACACAAGAGAACACTTCTCTAGTTAAACAAAGCCATTTTTACCATTTCTACATGTCACAGCCATGAAGCCTTTTTATTAAGAAAGACCATGCTGTTTTTATACCAACACTGAAACCGTGAAAAGTCAAAAGAAAGGTGAAAACATCTAAGGGATTGCAGAGACCATGTCTGAGTTATTATATTCAAGATGCATTATTTTTTTTTAAATGTAAATTTGCTTTGCCATTGTGACAGATGAAAGATTTTTGCAAGCCCAGGGACCACAGACATTGTAGATTAAACACTGATTCCTGCAGAATTTTGCTTTTAGCTTAATTCAATGCTGCAGTTTTTGTTTTGCTAGAAACCTACCCACGGAATGTACAAAATGACACCAGTTGTACATACAGATTTTCTAGATACTCTATGTGGATTATTCTCTCTCTCTCTCTCTCTCTCTCTCTTTTTCTTTCTTTCTTTCTTTCTTTTTCTTTTTTCACAAACTATTTTACCTTTAGAAATCAGAAACTGCTTACTAGCAATGATACATTTAAAACACTCCCATGAACAGTGACCCCGCCTCTGAAGTGCAGCATGGGAATGCAGTGGGTGCGCTGCTGGCTCAAGGCACAATACTGTATCATAATTACAAATCCCTGAGACAAGCAGGGGTGTATCTTCCCATGCCAAAATCCCTAGGAAATGGGAAGAAGAAAGGGCAGATAAGGCCCACGTTTGGAAATGTTTTTAAACGTGCTTACCCCACAACATTATCATGTCCTTATTCTTTTTCCTCTTACACATTCTATTATTCCTCTATCTCCTCACTCCTTTCATTATTTTTTTTTTTTACTATTTAATCTGCCATTCTCAAGAATCTTTCCCACTTAAAATGACAGTGATTACAGAAGCTCAGTCTAATTACTCTGCATATGTGCTCTACCGTTCTCTTACCTGCACTGTAAACTCTTGTGGCAGATTTTTCCTTTTTCTGTTCTTGTATAGAACCTACTACAATTAGGATCCCAGCTCCGGTATTCCTCTGGCACTAGCACTATAAATAAGGGGAAAATGATAGGAGACCTGTTCTGCAAAATATAGCAGGTGCCACTTCACATGCTGAGGCCTCACTGACAGTCACTTAGGTAAAAATAAAAGGCAAATTGGTAATCAGAGCAGATGTCCTTCTATGTAAAGTTCCACTCCTCAGTCCTGATGGCAGACAAAACAGGTCTGAACAAACAACATTGGGATCTGCAGAAGGGAAGCACATCAAAATGTTGCCAGCGGGATCTCTTTGGAAATGTCAGTCTACAAGGGGTATGGAGGGGAGGTTAATCAGGGAGCAGTGAGTTGTCAGGGTCTGGAGAAGCCCAGCCACAGATGGACAAACCTAAGCCAGCAATCATGGAGTCAGCTATAAAAAGTTGACACCTCTTGTTTAGCATCCATCACCCACATATACTGCCAGGCTCCCTGAGATTTTCTCATGATGAAAAAGGGAAGCATCGTGCTCCCAGAAGGCTAGTTCAGGGCTTCTCCTGTTGATTTCCATGTGGTAAAATAATCTGAGAAACCTTGTTTTGAAATTAATTCTGAATGGAAGATTCCTGTCCACTGCACTGAGAGAATCTTTAAGACCAAAGACACTACTTACTTAGGTAATCATTGTGGCTTCTTCAGCTCTGTTCAACAGCAGTTACTTGGCTCCTAGGTGTCTATAAAAGGAAGGAAAGAACTTGTCAAAGAAGGACGTAAAGAATCATATAGGCTGATATATTTGATATCAGCCAAATAGATCCCCGAAATCCTTACTCCAACTCTCGTCCTTTAATAACTTTAAACCATTCTTTAGTGAATGTTTTATGTTAGCCACAACAGAGAGTGGAAACAGCAGGTAGGAGGAGTAGTGTAACTGGATTTTCTCTGTCTCCATCCATGTCACTTCACGGATTTCTGTTCTTTTCCACCCAAGATAGGAATCACGCTTGTCCTTATTTCAGAATTAGATGCTGTAATCATCCATCACTGTTGACAAACTTGTTCACACCAGGTCTAACTGGATCCAGCTGTGACCTGGAGGCAGTGTTAAAACAGGCTTTCCAGAACCAAGTGTTATTTCATCTCAATAGTGCAAATATAAATGTAACTAGAAAAGTGTTCAACTCAATAAATACTCTACTAGACTGTGTGCAATCTAAACCCTTGGTAGACTTTTCCACTTGTCTTCTGCTGAATAATGTTTTCGGCATGTGTATCTGTGGTGCTCTTTCATTTGTGTGTCTGTGGTGCTCTATTTACTTCCATCTCCACTGCTGTGTTTCTGTATCCTACCTCTATTTTCCTCTGGGACATTCAACAGAAGTAAATATTACAGGGACTGAGGTCTGCTTTTCAAAAACAGTGCTTTTGTGATGGTGGAATATTCTCCTGTCAAGAATTTAACCCCTAGCTGCTCTTTAACTCATCCCAGCTCATCAACAAAACATATAACATATTACAAGTAACTTACAGGTCCTTAGCATTTCAAGTTTCCTGGCAGCTCACTACAAAGAGCATCTGCTGGCTGGATGTCTCACAGCATGGGCCAGGAAGATTTGCAGAAGGTTTATGTGTAATATACTCCCAGTCTACGAGGAACAACTTTTGGAAAACACCCAAGTGCATCAGTATCATACAAGGAAAATGCTGTCAGAGTCTTTTCTCTTCTGTCTTTCATGCACAGCTAGTATGCATACTTGTCATCAATGAATTTACACATATTATATACGTTTCTAGTACTACACATAATTAGTAAAACAATAATGCAATTATAAAGTACTGATTTCAGCTTAGATTTGAGATGTTTCTGAAAGCCTTATGAAAAATCAGACTTCACTGTACTGAAGCTTTAATTCATGACTCCCACACACTAAAAGTTAACTGCTGGCAGAAAAGCAGTTCACTATAGAGCAGAACTACTCTGCAATCATGATGTTCAACAGTGACCTTGGAAAGGTCTGTGAACAAAGTTGCTTTTTGTGGGCAGTAACTTAGTTCTTGGTTTAGCTGGATGTGGATACACAAGAAGTAAATGTATCAGAAAGGCCAGGCTGGGGGATGTATTCAGCAATAACTTTTAGATATGGGACCATGTATTTTTAAAAGATAAGAGATTTAACTATAGCGCTTTTCCTCTGAGGAAATTTATATTAGCTGTTATGAGAACACAACAAAAACATTTTTTCTTCTGAAATTTGGTCCTTGTTGACTCTAGCTTTTGACACTTCAGCTAAAAAGACACAGATCTCATGAACTGTAAGCCAGACTAACACATACTTTCATATACACATGATATATGGGAGATAAGTCATGTAGTAACTTAAAAAAAAAAAATACATACAGCCATACTGCTCGTAATCTGAATTATAGCAAAATTAGCAAGTGCGACTACTCAGACCCATTCATTAGCTACTTCTGGCTTGGTCTGCTTCTGCATGTAACGCCAAAGACTGGGAGATGGCAAACTGGGCTGTCTGTGTGGGAGGTCAGAGCACTGTTTCACATCACGTTTTCCTTACCATTCTCTACATCCATATTTCTCTCCCTGCTCAACTCCACTCCTTTCCAGACCTTGAACATAATCAACCCTCATTCTCTTCTCCCTGTGAGGACCACCTGCCCACACCATGTCCTCTTTGCTCAGTTGCACATCTGGTTTTAACTGCTGCCACAGAGCAATGCTAGAGCACTCACTGCTGAACAGGAGCACCTTCAAGATGAACACAGACAAAAAAACACAGCTAGAGGATGGAGCATAGAGGGAACAGTTTGTGGGACTGGAGAGTGCTGCTCTTGTTAGGAAATGAAGGAGAGGAAGCTGCAAGACATGCACTGTGAGTTTAAAAGACTGGCTTTTTATACTGTTGGGATAATCTAACAGAGTAAAAAGTTTTCTGAGGACCTGGCTTTCAGTGCCAAGCCAATCTAATCTGTACATCTCCTGCTGTCAAAGCTTCACTACCTTAAATCAAGTTATAGCTGCTAGACTGCATGTTCCTCCAATGCAGATTGCAACAGTCATGTATGCTATCATCAAAGCTTTCCAGGTGCTTGATCTTACTTTCATGCATTAAGTCCTACACTTCATCTGTGTTCTCCCTGGAGGGTTTCTCGGGTAATGGGAGGAGCCACTATAGCTAGAGCCCAGGAAGGCTGACAGAACTTCCTCAAGCCCACAGCTTTCTGTTGTCTCTGTTGCTGATGAGTACTGCAAAAAGACTCAAGCTGCTTAGGAAGACCTTCTCATGCCAAGGGACAAGCACAAATGCAGCAGCACCCAGGGAGGAACTGAACTGAGAGCACAGATGAAATACACTATGCTGTTCATAGCTGCAGAGCAAAGAGAGTCTACTCTACCAACACAGAAAGCCATAACACAGTTCAGCTCTCTCATCTGCCATAGCTGTGAAGGCACTGTGTCACCTGGCAGGGCTCCTGGCAGACCTGGCAAGCATGGAGACTACAAAAAGGGGCATGTGGGACATGTGTCCCAAGGACAGGGCAAAGAATTTAGGACAAGCCTGGGGATGAGTTAAGTGACCAGGAGATGCCACTGGATACAATTTCCTAGCAATTAAGAACCTCCATTCTCCAACATTCTGTGCCCAGCAGCCAGGGCCTGGTGTTGTGGAGTTGCTGGGATGAGCAAAGTTCCATGGTGAGTAGGAGCCAGGGGTCCTCTATTAGCCTTCACTAGTCTACTTCTGGCATGTTCACTACTCCCTCCAGAAGCTCCAGCTTTGCCACTTGGAATTAGTGAAGTTTGCACACGAGTTTTTTTCACTGTGAAACTTTACTGGGAAAAGAGAAAACAAGCAAATTACTTTCCTGAGTCTCTGGTGTGTAACTTAGCATCTCCTTTGGCTTCTGAATGACAGCACCTAGCACAGCTCCTCTCATGTCTGAGCATTCACAGCATGAGTGTCCCTACACATTTGGTATTCAGCTGAGATACTTCACTTTTGCATAGGGCAAATAGCAGAGCTGAACTACCATAGCACAGGCTTCTGTGGTTAGCCATCTATGCATGCTTTCTTGACAGAAGCAAGCTAAGTCTTACCATACCTCCTTACAAAACCAGTATTTCCTGCACTAACCAGAAGTTTTTGCTTTCAGGTACAAGGAAAAGCTGTCATCAAGATTCTTGCCAGCAAACAGCAACAAACATAGATTCTCCGATTCACTTAACAGCCAGCGCTGGAGGTTCTTAAAAAGTGGTCTGGATGATTTCAGAAGCAGCTTTCCTCCTCCATCTGATAACATCATCATCCGAGGCAGAAAGGGGCTTTCCCCCATTATTTTACAGAGCAGATCCCACCTGACTCAACAAAAGGTACGGAAAATATCTGTTAAACCCACATGCAAGCTCAAGTCAGAGGTGGAAGCCAGGAAGGAGTTCACAAAGGATACTAATCATCACTTAAGCCACTGCCCTCAGTTACTGCACTCTCATTTGAAAGACCGCATCTTTCCAAAGGTAAAGTTGCTGCCATTCTCTTGGAGTAAACACCTGTCCGGTACCTGAAACACAAAAACAGTCTATGATTGTGTTCCCTCTTGCCTTAAAAAGTCTCCTCTCTCATTATCTGTTACAAACAGGAAGCCAACAGAGTCCAAATGTATCTCTGATCTTATTATAGGAACAGCCATAAGAAACTGTCAACTTTCTGGGACGCCTTGCTGCCATGCTGATTAGTCACACGATTTAGTTACTAAACCACTCCTGTAGGACACTGGAGAGAAGAGGCTTTACCTTCCAGCCTTGGAAACCTCTCTGAATAACCAAGTACGCCGGGAATAATAAAGAATCTCTGATAAAAAAAATAATAAAAGGTGATCACATACTTTTTTTTCCCCCTATAATATGAAGCATGTACTGTCTAAAAAGTTCAGATTAAAGTCTGCAACTCTCAGTCAAAATTCAGGGCTCAAATCCCACTGGAGCAGATGAAAACCCTGGCCTCTGACACAAATTCTTTGATTTCACTCTCTTTGTACACAGAGAATGCCAAAGTGCAGAGCAAATCACAAACCAGTTTATTGTGTAATGCTGCCAGGTGCATCTATTTACTTCAGTATTCGCTGGCTTGAAGGGAGGGGACAGAGAGACTTCTTATGTGTATATGCTTCATTTTGGATTCAACCTGACTGAGTACAGTTCGAGTAGTCCATACTCAATTCTAAGTGAACTGTAATCTACAGAGTGCACACTTAAAATCAGCAAGCCACTGGCACATGTTTTCCTGACCTGTGAGTCATGTTCCACAGGACTGCCACTTTGACCTTACAAAGCTTACACTGGGATACAAAAGGACACACTCTGAGGAAGCAGATTTGAAATAAATTGTAGCTATATTCATGGTTATAGTTTCACCTTATTCTTCTTTTGAAGTCAAAGATAAACTTTCTATATATTTCTATGGGAGCAAGTGACTCGGTGATTCTTAAAATCCCGCTGCAATGCTTTAGGAATCTGTTTCTTTTAATTTTGTTAGCCCTGCATTCAAGCTTGAAAAGTATTCACAAACCAATTTTGCAGCTAAGAATTTATGTATCAAAACCTGGATACATTCTATCTCCACATACAATCTTCTTGACTAAAGGAGATGTCTTGCATAGCAAACAAAGGATTTTTACAGTCTCTGCTAACTGGAATTTACTATGGCTCTGCATTTGTGTGAAACTGCAGACCTACAATGAATGTTTGCTTTAAGTCTGTCTGTCTTATGTCAAAAGTTGATCTCTTGTTTCTAAAACACACATCGGTACTGAAGGCTGCAGTTAGATTATTTTGCAAACCTGGTTTACATTATGGTTTATTCAGGCAATCATCTGACTGTAATAAAATTCTGAAATGTAACTATCTTTTGGCAGGCAATAGCAGTGAGAGCAGTACGGCTGAGCTCTCTGGAGTCTTAGCACGTACAAATTCTGCTGTCCCAGTCCTTAAGTGGGCAGACCTTACTGCCATAAACGAGGAAAGAGACAAAAAATGGCTCTCACTGGGGGTCTCTTCCCAATTCCCAATGTCTGCTACACCTAAATGCAAACTTGGCAGGCCCAGAAACAGGTCACAATGTGTCATAGTTCCTACCCTTCCTCCCAGCTAGTCCATGGCAGCCATTAGCAAACAAATGTTTTATATGTCAGCCTTGATACAAACAGTTTGTGTCTACCAGCTTATACAATGAGGTTGTTTGTGTCATAGCCCTCCAGCTCCTGTCTCTGTGCAGGGCAATGTGAGCCAAAGGCACAAAAGACACTTGCTTCCCTGAAAATGTGCCTGATGACAGAGGTCATAAGTGGACAGTGCTGGAGAAGAGGAGATGCACAGACAGGTTGCATGTGAGTAGCTCAGCAGCTCAGCTTCACCTTCTCTTAGTCCTGCTGAAAGCTTTGGCACCACGACGGGATGAGCACACACACTTAGCAGGATTTTACTGTAGTGCAATAAACAAAGTTCATCAGCTGTTCAGGTGGGCAGGTCTCCAGCTTGCCTCTATGAGTACAACTGGTCACAGCTGCTCATGGCAACACTGTGTTCAATTATTTGCAGCATTTTTTTCAAAACAAAAGTGGTGCTGAAAAAAAATACTGGGGGTGGGGAGATGAGAATGCTGCCTAAAAATCTACTTCAGTGCCTGTCCATCTCCGCGTTCCTCAGAAGGCAAGCAGCACAAGCAGTACGGCACTCTTGCGCTGTTCCTAGGCCTGTGCATCTTGCAGAATCTAGCTCCCCGTCAGCCCCAGTTCAATGTTGTACTCTGTTGTGCCTGCTAAACTCAGTTTTGAGAATTTAATATCTTGTGCCTGCAAGCAGTGCTGATCACTGATATGAAAATCATTAAGCTAGAACTTTAGTGCAGGCAGCAATACCTTGCGTAGCTTAGCTGTATCCCTTGACTCTGCAGCAAGGGTGAAATAGGAGATACTTCAGTAAAGCAAAAAATCACACCCACAACCACATGACCTGAGTCTTAGGATGGAGTCACTGCATGGCATGTTAAACAGCAATTGCTGGTCATATCTCACATTTTCCTCTAATGTAACTGGGTGAGAAAGGACTCTACGCTTTCTCCTGCCATCAGACCAAAGCAGCACATGACTAACTGACCACTGACATCCTCTTGCAATCATTACACTCAAGAAAGAGGAAATTGCAAAAACAGTTTCAGAATTGGACATGCAAATTTGATGTCAGCAGTATTTCAAGACGTGAAAGATTCCTACAGCTGCCTTATTTATATCCCTGGCTTCTTATTTCAGGTAAGAGAGATAAGTAACAGCAACAAAGATAACCCCATGCAACTATGTGGTACCAGATCTGTAATATGGCATGTTTGGGTGGAGAAAATAAGACCTTTACCACCAGAGTTTATAGAATATTTGGGACAATCCTTTTGCAAATGAATTGTAAAGGATTCTCAAAAGGTGATAGATGAGGCTACCCAGAAAGAAAGGCAGAGTCAGGGAACTGGGAGCTTCATTTAGAATTCAGTCGCATGATTTATAATATGATCTAAGTGCTTGCAGCTTTCAGGGAATTATTACCTTCTCAAAGGGAGCACAAACAATCATATTCAGAAATTTTTACAAAGATTTGGCATAAATCATCTCCTGAAGATTAAGAGTATCTTAACCTCCTACAAATGAAATACTTGCACTCAGTGATGTATGAAAAAGTGTGAAAGGATAGGCAACCTGAGGTGAGAAAAGTACTTGTCAAAAGAAAGCTCACTTAGGACCCCTATGACTTGTTTCTGTTCCTCTCCTCTGCAAGTCCTTGGCTCATGTGATACTTCATTTAGTCCAACAAAGCTGTTGAGCTGCAGACAAAGCTCAACAAAGACTTTCCTCAGAAAGGCAGATTAAATTTTGCCTGGCACCTTAAGAATCCAAGGGAATACATAAGATGGTGTAAAGAACATATTTTTATGAGCCAGGTGAAGACAGCAGTGACATGTCTCTAAAGCATCCTTCAGTTATGACACACAGCTTCATTTCACAGTAATTAACATCATATCTGGGCTAAGAGAATGCACCTAGGATGAAAAAGATGTTTGCTTATAATGCTTGTCAACATGGGTAATGCACTGTAAGAAAGTATAAAATGATATCACACTCTGCACCAGTGTCCTGTTGAGTCTCCTCACAGGAGCTGTCCTTTTCCAGGAGCAAAGAAACCCACATTTCTGGTATATTCTCAAAATCAACTTTTCCTGTCTGAAAAAGAATACAAGATTATACTAGAACCTACAAACACAAATGCATATATTCTTTTCTATCACAAAACTGAAACTTGTGTTTATTTTCTCAGTGCCCTTCAGACTTTGAACTTTGATAAATTTCTGTTAAAAGTTGTTTGAAAATAAATATTTGGATGTCTTTTATGTTGCATTTTTCTATAGGCCCAACAGGGTAAAAAGTTGAGATAGAAGTCAAAGCATGATGTCTACGGGAAACTAGATGACCACTCAGGTCTATGAGCATGAATTTGCTGGAACATTTTAATTATTATTTAATTTATATGAGCTATGGAGTACTACAGCTTTAGTGAATCTTGGGGTGTCCTTGACATGCTTAACATTTTATAGAATTCAGCCAAATACATTAAACTACATTTTATGTTTTAGGGGTTTGGATGGCTCATCACTGGCAAAATAACACAACAGAACAAAATTACGTCGTCTTATAGCTTCGTCTATTGCTGTGCTGTATAGTGGCCCTGCCATGCTGCTGCATGTAGAAATTCCACTGAAGAACAAAGGTATTTTGTTGGCATTTCTCAGTATGTCTCTAGCAAGCAGAGAGATTATAATACTGTGTATAGAGAAAGACTAAATTGAGCAAAATCTATAAATCTTCAACTTTGATCCCCAACTTTGATAAGTTTGATCTTATTGGTCTCCAAGAGATTTTCACTGCTTTAGTGTGCTGTCTTCTTTGTTTTAGAGTGTCTCATATCTCCCCCCTCCTCTTTCAAATCTTTAGAAGGTAGGTAAAATCTCTAGAAGGGAAGGTAAAAAGCATCAAGAACCAAAAATGAAATGGCATATGACATACTATTGTACTAGCAGGGAAAAAGGAGAATGGAGAACATCAAAACAGAAAGCCTGACTTTCAAAGTGAGTGACTAACAAACTGAGGAAACTGGCATGGGATAAAATATACATGGAAAAGTGATTTCAGGAAAGCTAACCTTCCTTGATATTACTGGCACAGCACGCATGGTTAGAGGAAGCATAGGAAATGAATCAGGAGAATGGCCTGGACAAATATTAAGCTCTCCCTCCAACCCAAGAAGAAATGCTAAGACAGATTACTAAAGAAAATTAAGAAGAGCGGCATAAATATCCAGGAAAACTAAGGAAAGTGGGCACAGTGAGATGCAACTAGCAAGTGATATTAGATACCAGGAGTCACTCCTTATTAACATTTCCGATGAACAAAACACCACAGGAGATTTTTTTTTTTTCCAGTGGAGAAAGAAATTAACATTAGTCAAAACTTCAGTACTTTCTCTGCCTCATGCTGCTGGAAAGCTCAACCATAGTCGGACAACTAAGATAATTAACACTAGTGAGAAAGGATAAAGGTCTCAGGATGCATCAGGGATGGGATAGGTTGCATAGCAATTGTATCTGTTAATTGCCTTGAGTCAGCTAAGTGAGGATGAAATGCATTCTACTATGGGAAAAAATGGTAGAACATGGTCATTAGCTGTTTCCTTGCAAGTTCATGGAAAACAGGTATATTTGCAAAGAATCTATACAAGTTGCAGTGGCACCCAACTAGAAAACACTTTAAGGACACTGGAAGGCTTCAGCTGAATTTACAATGATCCTGACATGTCAGACAAAACCTGGAAAAAAAGGGAGTACAAAAAACAGGGCTAAATCACTTCTGCCAAGAAGAACTTCTCAGCTGTGCAAATACTGAAAAAGGAACAACTGGCTAGGCTAAAGTTCACTTGAGAATACAGGGATTTGTAGAAGACTGTGAATGTCTGCAACGCCCAGTCATGGAAAAAAAAAAAAAAAAAAAAGGAAGCATCCTATAATGAGAGCAAAGATGAACATGAGATAACCCTCTGTTCCTCTCAGCCTGGGTAAGATGACCTCGGAGGTTGATGTCTTTGCCCAAGTTTGGTCACTATTCTTCAAGAAAGCAGAAAGAATCACAGGAATAATTACACATCTATGACCAACATGCAAAGACAGAGTACAATGAGTTATAGTATAGATAAGCAGTAACAGAGGTCTTGATTAAGAAGCTCTAATTAAGAAGAAGGGAGATTCAAAGAAACTGGAAATACTTTACTCCCCACGCACCTCTGGAACAGAAGCTATGTAAAACACTATAAAGCCACAAAGTACCGAACTGAGAGAACCCGCCTCTGTGCTGGAGGCAAGAGCTATCACCGTCACACACTCTCTCCTTCCATGCCACCTGCTGGCTATGCGAAATGCTGCACAGAGATGAGTCAAGCATGCCAAACCGGCACTCGCAATTGATAACAGGAAGAGGCAGGACAGAAACACGCTCAGGTTTATGGTTTCGTCCAGGAGCGTGATGCATGCCCAAAGTATATTAACGGCTAAACCTTCTCATTTTTCTGCTTTGTTGGATAAGGACCCAGTGCAAAAAGATTTTAACAACTGCCAAGATGACCCTTGTGGCAGCAAAAGGGCTATCTCCCAGTATGTCTTGGGTCTTGACTTGAGATTTTGATCTGGCTTCTACTGAAAACTACAATAGACTAAGCTTTCTGAGCTCTTATTAAGATATTTAAGAGATGACGTTATTCCTTTTCCTGTGCAGTGATAATAAGAGGCATGTCTCTTCCTATTCACTTGACAGTGACAGTGACTGTTTGCTTTTTAATTCTGTGACAGTAAGAAGTTGTGGTGTAAGATCCAGCAATGTGCAGACACTGAAAACTCCTATGCATTATCAGAAATCTGCTCCTTGTCTCTAAGCTCACCTATATCCTGTTCTTTTCCTTCTCAACACAGCTTCGTGAAACTACCACAAGGTTTTTACTCTTGTTGCTGTTAAGGTCATAAAGAGCTCCATGAAAAGTTCCAAAAAGCTCGCCTGTCAAACTTTAATTTTTAAGTTGTCCATGGAACTTCCAGATGCCCCAGTAGTACAGCCAAAGGGTGTAACAGGGCTCCTTAATTTTTATTTCTTCTCTTCTTGTTCATGTTTCCATTTTGTTCTACTATAAAATTGGAATAAGCACTGCACAGAGCAGTTTCTCTCCACTGTCCTTAAAATAGCAACTGTATACCAGGAGATCAGACAGTGAAACGCAGCCAGGCTCATAAGCACTCCCTAAATAGCATCCCACACTGCCACTACCAGAGCCAGAATAGCGGGATAGATGTGCCACAAGTCTGATTTCAGCAGGGCTTTTCTCAAACACTCTGAAGCTAAAGCTGAGATTCCTTGTCACCGCACTAGAGGGCACAGCTTACAATATAAAATTCAGAAAGGTCATTTGTGTAAGCACATATGGGCTAGGGCTCATTAATAACAGGCATGGCTGTATAGTTGTTTATAGAATTGTAATAATAAGTATTTGCCCTACTGCACTGGTTCTGAAATGTGAAGCGGTGGGTAGTTTGAGGCTCCTGTTTTTATCCCACTCAGCTGGCTGGTAATTCTGCAAAGTCACATGCAGCTTTTCAAAATGTTTCAGCAACTGCTACCACACTAACTGAGTAAACAATGGTGCAATGAAGCCTCAATGTTCACAGAGCACATGCTTCTAAATTAAATCATCAGAAATGATTTCATGAACCAAATAAAATCATAAATTAGAAACAGAATTGGTTATGTCCCTGAGAATCTGAGAAACTGTTTCCTTGCCCATTCACTATAATGCTGCTTTGTTTGGTTTCAACAAAAGCTTTAAAAAACACAAAATGCATTTTGGAACACATTGATCTGCCTTGTAAATTCTCCTAGGAGGCAGATAACTCCAGATTCTACAGGATGTGAGCATTTCAGAAATTCTGAGAGAGACAAGGTACCAAAACCCAGGGCAAGTTACTGACTGTGACAACCTGTGTTTGTTTCAGAGCAGGAATCTTCTTCTTTAGCATCCAGGGAGCTCTTGGGCCATGACTCTTCTCACTTCTGTTGAACATTTCTTCTTCTAACTCTTGTTAAATGCTCAGTGATTCAGGGATTTCAGCCTCAGCATTTGCCAAGAGCCTTGTTTTTATGAAGAGATACAAAATAAAAAAATAAACAGCTAAAAAGGAGTTCCAAAACACAAATTCTCTGTTACCTGGACAGGGTATCATTGTTACAATCATGACTGAGTTACCTAAGACTAGTTGTGTCCAACATAAATCCACACAGCATCTGAAGAAAGATCTGCCTTTCCTTTAGCCACTCATTCTTGAGACCGAGAAGAAGGAGACTTGTATGAACATGGAAAATGTTTAGTTTTGGAGGATAATTTTGCCCTTCTCTTGCTTATTAAGAAGCAACCTGCTTTTACTTTGTCACTCTGCTTTTCATCACTTGCATTTCTGCGTCTTCAAAATTAACTGTTCCTTAAGGATTTCTGTAATGGTCACTTGTAAGCTGTGTTAGTTTCATGTCTTCCTTTCAAAGCCACTTTATCAGCTAATTTAAGAAATGCTGGGATTAGCAGCTCCAAACACTACTTCTGTGATGATGGTTGGCAGAAGGATGTAGTTCTATTGAAATGACAAAATAGTGATTTCAGTCTATCCTGTTTCAGTGAGATGCTCAGGAATTTTAAATTGCAGTGCACACTTACTGTCTAACAAACAGCAGTACCCAGGTGCCCTAACTGAGGATCCCAGCTGTGCTAGGTGGTATATAAATACAGAGCTGCCTCTGCTATGAAGGCTAGAAAGAAGGAGTACGTAAGTAAACTATGAAAATACAATCTACTGTGCCTATTTTAAGTACCAAGGCTAAACTGAAGGTAAACAGACCCTTGAAACATCAACAGTTGTAAAGGAGACTGCACCCAAAACCAGATCCACTGAGGAAGTGTCCAGGCAGGTCCCAGCTTCTTAGCTCTTTCCTTTCACTGTATTGTTGGTCAGAAGATCTGAGCAATACATGTTTAACATGTTTGAACTCATTCCACACAACAAAGTAGATGTCTATACTTAAGCACAAGCTCAGCACTTTGTTAGAGCAGGGCTTCAGGGAAGGTTTACTGTGTTTAACAACAAGAAGGGAAGGGAAGGGAAGGGAAGGGAAGGGAAGGGAAGGGAAGGGAAGGGAAGGGAAGGGAAGGGAGAAGAACATTGAACGATGAATTCTGAGTATTCACACAGGCTCCCATATAGCACATAAGCCAGGAAACTTCACTGTGAAGACTGCACACTTGTGCTTCTATAAATCTGAGTGACATTTACTGTCCTGTTAAGCTGAGGTAGCACTGCTCTTAATGACACAGAAAGATTAAGAAGTTTACACACTGCAAATAGAGTTATTCAGACGTTTGCTGTTCTCTTTTCTGATGATCAAATTTCATCAGTGGGCTTTAGAAATCAACAGCTCTGTTCACATAAAGAGAAAGGATATTAAACAAACAAACAAACAAACAAACAATGGTAAAACTGTCTGGAACTGCCTCTGTAACTCCTTCTCTGGTGTTAAATCATTGGTGCTAACAGCCCAGCCCCTGCTGGACTATAAACATTTTTACAGTTTGTCACTCTGGGATTACTAATCTGAACTACAAAATCAGAAACTGCATCTACTAGACTTTATGATTAGCTAATGTTAGATTTGCTTGTGTAATCGTTTCATTTTGAATTAAGATTTGACATCATTGCTCCAAGAGGAACAGAACAAGGTAGGAACATAAATTAAATAATTGTCAATTTTTTTCTGTACTAATAGAATTTGAAGCTCTGGTAGTCCAAAAAAGCTTCCTGAGCTTAGTAACGAGGATGATGGAAGAGCAGGACAGTGCTGCGAAATCCAATTGTAGGCATTAGAGCACGATGCATACGTTACAAAATTAGCAGCGAGTTTAACTGAGTTCTTCAAGGACACCAGAGGAAGCCTGGCTTTTCACCACCAGCACGCTCGACTGCACAAAATTCTGCGGTTACTACAGCTCAAGGTTCACCAGTCGCGAACGCTTTCTTTCAAAAACAGATATCATCACGCGTTCTGCCCACAGCGTAAACCTTACAGCTGTTCCTTAGCTCACTACCCTTCTCGCAGTCTCCCGCTCCAGGGGCGGCCCAATGGTGCTGAGGGAAGCCGCGGCCCGCCCCAGGGGCGGCTCCTCTCGGGCCCGGAGCTCGCCTTAAAGCCGCGGTCGGGACGGGGAAGGAAGAAGCCCCACTGCCAGCGTCCGGCCATGGCCCGCGACCGCGGTCCGCCCGTGCTGTGGCAGTCCCCGGCTTCTCCGCGCCTGCCTGCAGCCGCTCTGCCGGCAGAGGCCCGCGGCTGGGGCTGGTTGGGAGCGGGGCTGTGGCCGGCGCTGGTGGTGGGGCTCCTGGCTGCCCTGGTCGCCTGGTTCTGGTACGGCGGCAACGACGGACGGGGAGAGGAGAGCGGCGAGGCGGCCCCGGCGGTCCAGCAGGCGAGGAGAGAGGCGGAAGCTGCAGGTAGCGGGCTGGGGACTGCAGGCTGCCCGTGCCCACCCGCGGGGGGTTTGAGCTAACTGTGTTGCTTAAACTATGCCTGTTTTAATTCTCTGTTCTTAGAGAGCCTTCTGGTGAGTAGTGAGGAAGTACTGCGGCAAGCAAAGGCTGCTGCTCTGTCCAGCCCTCAGAAATCAGGAGATGATTTGACAGAGGCCCCAGGGAGTGAACTTAACCATATTCTGAGCGGTACGGCTTCCTGTAAATCTCCAGAGACGGAGCAACTGCTGCCAAAGCAGTGTGTCACCTCCTCGGAGACTGATGCTGGGTGGCATCTGGCTGATGCACGTGATGGCCAGGGAGGAGACTCAAGACCACAGGTGGGACAGGCAGGTGAGGGATGGTGTGTGATGAACTTGGCAGGAGCCTCTGGTGAAGTTTGTAAGGACAGAAGTGAGGAGCAGCTGTGCCAGCCAGCCGAGAGCCGTGACTTGGACCATGAAGATTGGGAAGTTGTGTCTGAGCACCTGGACTGTGGGGAGGCTGGTCAGAATGGCAGCATGGAAGACTCAGACAGCAAAGAATGGGAACAAGGAGACTGCTCTGATGGGGACTTGAAAGCAAAGAGAGTTGCAGCAGTGCCCCCAATGTTTCAAAACATCCACGTGACTTTCCGTGTGCACTACATCACACACTCTGCTGCTCAGCTGATTGGTGTTACTGGTGACCATGAGTGTCTTGGCCAGTGGCACAGTTACGTTCCCCTCAAGTATGACAAGGATGGCTTCTGGTCTGAGTCTGTTACCTTGCCGGTGGACACCAAAGTAGAGTGGAAATTTATCTTGGTGGAGAACGGGAAGGTCACACGTTGGGAGGAATGCAGTAATAGGACCCTAGTGACCGAACATGAAGATCAAATCGCTCATCAGTGGTGGGGATACCACTGACTGGATTTTGGATGCTGCTTATCTAAACCTGCTTAGATTAATCAGAGTCCCTAAACTTTCTCCCTCTTCAGTAGCATACCTTCGTGACTGCGCCGCTCTGTAAGTCCCATATCAAATCTGATTAAACTGTGTGAGCAGTAGATCTTGGTCGCCCCCCCTTAGGAAGTCACTTGGCAACCTGAGAAACCAACCTTGGCCATCTTCTGAAGATGTGCCAAGTGAGAGATGAAGGCATGAGCAGCATTCTGAGCTGCTGCCTGTCTGTCTCTGATCCTGGACTTGAGTTTGTGCTGCTTTGAGTGGGGCTATGGGATGCATCTTTGTGCTGATGGCTTAGGGCTTTAAAAGCATACTAGGAAGCATGGTTACCTACACTGTAAGATGAACTTAAATGTTTTAACTTATGTAATGTATCAAGTAAGCAATAAACACTTTCAGACTGATGGTCCTTTATAACACAACCTGTGAACTGACTCTCTATAAATTGCATAGAATAGAATTAGCTTCCTTGACTAGAAATATTAGTGCTAAATGACTCCTGAAAAGTAACAGACACTCTTTAGAGTGAGAATGGTTTAAGTACTTTGTTTCTTACTCCCTGCTCTCTAGGAAGCACCCCAGCTCAAACGAAGGCTTGGCAGATGCATTTATTTATTTTCACTTGTATCGTCACAGTGAGATAGAGAGTAAAGGTCAGAAATGACTGTTTGGGCTTAATAAATTACTTTGTCAAAGTGGGAGCAGGCTTTAAAAAAACAAACAGAACTAAAGCTGTTGTAATAATCAGGGGATGGGATTTCTCCTGAAACAGCATATGCTTACATGGCATATGCTGCTTGTGAAAACACTAAATTTTGGCTAACAAATACTTTGAATGCTTGTTTCAAGACTAGTCTTTACTATGTGAAAACTTATGTAGCCTTCTAAGTAATCCAGAGCACACAGAACGCTTCCAGTATCAACTGGTTGCTTCTGTTTTGTAAAAATAAGAGACCTGCCCCACTGGCTGCTTCTCATATTGTTGGTTCCAAATACGATGCTTCTTGCAGCAAGCTCTTCCCAAAAATGAGGAACCTAGTTTGCAAATATCCCTTCACTACAACAAACCTGCTCTGGAGAGCATAGTTTCATTGGAGGTTTGGAACATACAATGAGCTTTGCAATGGGTTTTTGAAGTGTCTCTGCTTATGTTTTCCTGTTTTACATGGTGGAGCAGTCTGAGTAGGTGAACTAGACTGTTTCTGAGAGCTAGTTTGTGTTCTCAGGTAAACCAGGCCCCTCCCAATAGTTATACATATAATGACAGCAACTTGTTCTGTCAGTTACTTCAGATAACATTATCTTTGCTTGCTGGTTGTCTTGAACAACAACCTGAAGATTCAGGTGAGGAAGTTTGCTTTCCTTTCTCAAGAGACCTTTCCTACCTGAGAATAAGGTAGGAAATAGGGGTGAGAATTGAATTCAAGACTTGCTGCATTTTTTTGTTTACTGCTTGCCTAGGATGAAAAGCACCTGCTTCTGTCTGAGAAGTGTTGTAGGGTCTGGAAGGTGTTTGGGGTCACTAGTGACTGGGCACTAAGGGGGAGGAATGAGCTGACAGTTCAGAAGTTGATTGCTGCTACTGCAGTGATCTTAAATGGGTAGAAGTGCACACGCTGCCTCTGAACTCTCAACAGACAACTAAAATGGGACTTAATTATTTACTACATGAATTTAAAAGGCTTAGGACCTATTTAGCATACCTTAGGTTTAAAAAGTATTAGCATGAGACTCATTTCATCAAAGGGGCTACTACTTTATTGTAACAACTATTTATCCTCTTTAATTATGACTGTGCTTACCACATGCTAGCAGAAAGCTAGGTTCTGTCCACATACACACCAGTGAATAGATAAAACATTTGTGCAGGTTTCAGTAGGTAACATATCAACTGAATACTTCAACTGAATAAGAACTATGCAGAAACTAATTGCCTTGAACCTTTATTACCTGAATTACCTGCATTTTTTGCTCTTACCTAATAAAGAGAATAACATACCCAATATATTGCAGGCTTATCTGAGAAGATTAATGGTGGTGTTAGATTAAGGTATTCACCAGAAAGCCACTTAACGTACACTAGAATAGATTCCTTAATGCAGTAATGAACATGTTACAAACAGGCTACCCCTGAGAAGTCTCTCAAACCGAGGGCAATATTTTAGTTAAACACCATGCACTTTGATCCAACAGATGGCACATACAGTCCTCATGGTTTCATCATCTTGCTCAATGATTGAACTGGGTTCTACAGAGATGTGCAATGTGTTTTTACTGTAAAATCTAAATTATGATCCTGTTCACATCACTGCTTGCCCCGCAGGACATGTGCTACATAAGTGAAATGCCATTTGTATGGTGGAAAAAAGGAAATTTGGACTTCTGCATTGTTGCATACAGCAGTTGATTATTAACTTTTCAGAGAGGCAATTCCTCTTTACTGAACAATCTATTCATTCAAATCTGAAAATGTGTCTTGGTTATGGCTAGGATAATTTTCTTCCTATTAGCTTGTATGGTGCTGTGCTTTGGATTTAGGATGAGAACAATGTTGATAACACACTGACATTTTGGTTGCTGAGCTGTGCTTGCATTAAGTCAGTCAAGGACTTTTCAGCTTCTCATACCACCATGCCAGCAAGGAGCTAGAAAGGAACAGAACCAGGACTACTGACTCACACTAGCAATGGGATAGTTGTTACTTTTTCCTTTCTTTTCTCTTTTTTCCTAAAGTGTCCCTATCTCAACCCATGAGCTCTTGCACTTTCTGTTTTTCTTCCTCAGCCCACTGCAGGATGCATGTGGAGGGGATGTGAACAAATGTCTGCACTGTTTAGCTGTCTGCCTGGTTGAACCACAACAACACAGATTTGAACAAAGACAATGCTGCATGAAAATTGTTATGCTAAAATGGCTCAGTACCTGTATAACAGTGTCCCAGGAGCTCAAAATTTCTAAAAACAAATAATAAACTGCCTCATTCACAGCTTGGCAAAGAAACTGCAACCAAAGTCCTACAGCTTACAATGACCAGCTGAGGCTGTTGAAAACAAACTATTAGACAATGTGATTACTTTTAAGTGAAATACAATCCAGTCTTATTTGTGAAGTAGTTTGGTGTACAAATGCTAAATGGTATCCCTGGAGGGTAAACTGAGCAGACAGCAGTGGGTTGGATGAGGACAGGGCTTTTACTGAACATTAACAAGTTTTAAATCTTGTACAGAAACTTGCATTACATCTTGTCTGCTTCCTATTTATTTTGCAGTTGCCTTTGCAAAAACCATACCCAACCCACATTTTCTTTGGGAGTTAAACTTACCGTGTGGAGACTCTTTACATGATCCATTCAAATATAGTAGGCTGGTGTTAGATTTTATCTGTAGTATGTTGGTTGCCATCTGTGTTGTCCTGCTGTGGTCAGCATTTGTCTTACTCTCCTGCTGTCATCCACCTGTACAACATGGAATAACAAGGTGCTATTTGTGTGGTAAAATCCAGGATGCATATATTGGACCTTTGTGTTTGTGGCCCCTTATCTCCCCCTAGGCCTTCCTAGTCCCTCTGCTGGAAGCCCAGACCTGTTCCCAACTCCGTCAGATTCCAGCATGAGGATGTTAAGCTTTTTCCTTGGCAGATCTCCCTTCTCTGGCAATTTGTACCTTTCCACCTGCTCCCTTCTATTCTCACAAGACTGCAGCCATTTGAAACTCCTTTTGGACCAGCTCCCTGAACTCAACTAAGAATGCACTCTTCATTGACCTTACAACTTGCTGGTCTCAGTCTCTACACCTCATCTTTTCTTAATAAAACTTTGTAGGTCTGTCAAATATGTGCACGAACTCTGATACAGAAGTCATCTAAAATAAATGATCTTTTCAATGCAACCCATTCCTAGGAAATTGAGGGTGCCTTTATTAATGTTTTGACTAAAGCAATGCTATTGGAAGAAAAAATAAAGCCAGTAGGAAAAAAGTGACTGAGAAATACCAAGAATTACTTGAATTCAATCAAAATACTGTTGACAATGACTAAAGACAGCTTCAGAACAACTCACTGGTCTCTTCTTCCTTCACAAAGAGACCTTAAATTCAAACTCAGAGGTTTGATATTCTATGTATAGTTGCACAGCTTTAGAGGCAACAAAACCTAGATTGTATCTGGATGGGCTTGTGCTAATGAAGCTACTTTTGCAGGACTACTGATGTCACGGTTTGGACAAAATCACCAGATTGACTGTGAACCCTTTGAATTCAAGCACGGTATTCTATGCTGCCACAAACCTAAGGCAATCACTGCTTTTCAAAAAATAGACTGAAGAAAAATGCTAAAGCTAGGAAACTTGCATCAGTGCCATCTCCTGCTGACCTAGGTACACTGTTCAGCCCCTCTTCTCTGTTTGCACACCAATTATTGTAAGGGGACATCCTGCTCTTTCTAGTGTTTATGGGAAGAGGTCCTTTGCTAATAAGGCAGCAGCTTCCACGACTGACATTTCAGAGAACCTTTTGTAGACTCTGAAGGGGAAGCAGTATTAATCTGTCTCCATTTGTACTAAAAATCAAAGCAAATACAATAACAGGTAGTGAAAATTACACCAAAATTATCATTTTGTGAGTCATCATGCTTGAAGGAATCATGGTTTAGGATGAAATCCATGCAGTCTTGCAATTATAGGCACGTTGTTCAAAACACTGTGTTTACTACAAAGTTAACAGGAGCCATGGCTGAGTTTCCTGCTTAAATTGGGAATACTTGGTAGCTTTGGGACATCCAGATTAACTGGAATTTATGGAACTAGTAATATTAATTATAGAGGTAAAGGGGAAAGGATTTATTTTAGAATGCCAAATAAATGCCCAACAAACCAGTTCAAAACTAACTTTGAGAACCTGAAATAGTGTGCAAGATCCAGAATACATGGAAGAAAACTCCTACTTGAACATGAATCAGTTGGCAGTGCCCGGTGACCAGTGTCACCCACAGCACATGGCTACTGGCAGTGTATGCCAGTGGAAATGTCTGTATTTAAATGTATATTTACTCTTCTGTACTTCCCGCTCATTTAAAAGTAACAACTTTAAGGAGCGTCTTCGTAAGAATTGCAAAACTACAAGAACCTTTATTATCCACCTTTAAAAATAAAGTGTATTTTAAACACAACGTACGTGAAAGTAGTCATCAATGTATACAAATCTTCACTTTAATCACTTTAATAGCTTTATTCTCCTTTTCATTTGCTTCTCAATCTTCATTTCCTGAATTTTGATCATTGATGCCAAAGCTTAAAATAGAAGAAAGAACAGATTAGCTAAACACCAGCTTATGTTTAAATGATTGAGACCTCAGAAGCAGACTCCTGGAGCTTTCTAATACCCTCCTGCCCTTTACACTCTGTGTTTATCAAGATCTTATAAAT